TACTGTGGCTGACAGATCAAAGAGTGGTCGTCCTCGTAGTGCACGGTCAAACGAAAACACTGAATCTGTGAAGAATAGCGTTGCTGAAAATCCAGAGACCTCCGTAAAACGTCGTGCTCAAGAACTTGGAATAAATCGGCAAACAATTTGGACAATAATGAAAAAAGATTTACATTTCTATCCCTGTAAAACTCAATTGACACAAGAGTTAAAAGAAAGTGACCACAAACAAAGAAGAGGCTGGAGCACGAAGCTGTTACAGTTGAATGTTGACGACCCTAATTTTTGGCAAAAGTTAAAATGGTGACATTGATTGGCCCCGTCGCTCCCCCGATTTAACGGCACCAGACTTTTTCCTGTGGGGGTACTTAAAGGAACAAGTCTATGCAAACAAGCCGACCACAATTGAGCAGCTGAAGGACAACATTCGCCAAGAAATTCAAGAAATAACACAAGAAACATGTGAAAATGTTATGAAAAATGTTGTTGAAAGAGCACGCCTTTGTAAAAGCAGCTAGAGGAAGTCATTTGGCGGATGTCATATTTCACACATAATTGGAAAGACTGAATAAACTATTAATGAAAAGTATTGTAACAACCATCAACGAAGACGACGACAAAAATTTCCATTCCGCGAGAGGAAGTGAGAGGGACGACTCTCTACCCTTGTCGACAATCAAATAATCGCGAAGCGATAGAAGCTTCCAGAACAAACTAGCTCGTGACCCGCGGTAGACTCGCGGTTTTGCGCGAGAGTCTCGCGGTTTCGCGCGGGAAGCCACTTGCGACGCGTCTTGTTGATAAGCCGCGCTTCATTAGCAACGGTCAAATATAGATACCACGGCCGCTGTACTCTGCTGGGAGAAAACGAGGTATTACCATCGGTCGCCCTTCAGAGTGGGAGAGTACGAAGCCTAGCTTTCGGACGCCCTTACAGCACAGGAGAGTACGGGGACTGACACCTGTCGCCTACCAGGAGAAGTGCGGGTGGACTCTCCGATCATATGCGTATCACTTAAATATTGTGATAGGAGAGTACGAGAGCTATATCTGGGTCGCTCCTGGAATGAAAAGAACGGCTGGACTATCCGCCGGTTGCCTTCCAGAGAGTAGAGTACAGGATGCTCACCGGACCCCTTCCCACAGTAATTGTTATAAATCGTTTTATCCGTTTCGTTAATGTTGTAACGGGAGAGTACGGCTGCTTAAAGCCGTAACAGCTCGAACACTGCATTGATTTGTTCGAAATTATTCTGTATCAAACATTTAACATGTATCGACGAAAGGTAAATAAACTTTTGTGTGTTTTTCCCAGATACCAAAGCAAGTCCTTTCATCCCGAAAATCCTACTGCAGTATATATATTTATCTTATTTTATTTAAAACTTATTTAGAAACAAAATGGTAGCACTTCTTTTATGACACCCTGTACCTTCGGTGCCATCTTCTCAAAGTCGTTAGAAGAAAGGTCAGTAAGGTCGGACGGGAGAGAATCGATGTTTTTTGCGGAAGATTTCCGTTCTTCTATTATAATACTATAATACCGTATAATTTATTTATTCACATAATTTTTGTTACGAATTTATACTTGTCACAACTTTTCACGACACTACGTGTTATTATTTATACATTTGTTGCAACTTTCTTCCATGAAAAACTACGTTTTAGTAATCTTGTTACATTCTCATAGTGAAACTAAATTCGTAAAGATTAAAAATCAGATTGACCTGTGGTCGTAGATTAAAACTAGCCGTGGTAAAGCTAAAATTACAATTTTAAATAATTCTACTCATACGAATGAAAAATTTATTCAACGTTTGTTTGATATAGTAACATGAAATAAATTATACCATATATTTTCTCTACATTACACGAAATTTAATGTTCTATTTATATGTTATAACAATTATAACTGCAGATTATGTTGTTCCCCGTTGATTTCTCCGTAAATTCTCTGTTTAGAAATTATTTCAAACTAAAGCACCGTTTGTATGGTACAGTTCAACCTAATTTACTTGAATTTATATTGCGATGCAGTATGTTTATAATTCTGCCGGAATTTTTGATATTCAAATGAACACGGGTACACATCCACTGTATTTAAACAATATTCTCCACCAAAGGGGACAAATTAATTGTGGAAAAATAAATTAGGTCAATGAAGATGAGTAATGATATCACGGTGGTACTGAAAATTTCAATACCACTGATGTTAAATTTCTCGTGAAAAATATGAAGGATGTATTCGTCTCATTCTGTTAATAGAAATGGAGAGATACGGTATATTTCGTCGTCACAAAATTGAGCGTACATATTTTAGTCCTCGGTTGGAAATAGTCTGTTGAAAGCAGTGCTTAGAATCGAAAAGCAATAATTACTTAACGACGCCACGTAACGTGAAGACGTTGTGCATTCTCGGCAAGAAGCAACGTAATGTGATTCAATTCCGGATCAAAGCGTTCCATGCGTTTATTCCCAACGTTCGTGACATTCTCGTTTTACAGCGGAAGAAGCAACCACAGCGAGTCTCGTGTTTCGCGGAGACAATCGCAGATTCCAATCGACTTACAGTTAATGATTGTTAGTCGGTGTAATCGACGGAATGCTGCTCCACTGGCCTGTAATGAAATCTTTATAGAATCTTTATAGAAGTATGAAACCACTTCTTACTGTTACTAAAATAGCAAAGTACTGTGTATTTGATGAAGAACCAATAAGTGTAACGATGAAATTAAGATACATCACTGTTCAATATTTTACAACATTTATAGGCTCCCACACGATGCGTGAAGCATGATTACGTAGCGAATAATTTTCACTTTATTTACCAACACAGTTTATTGGTAACGTTAGCAATTGTGATATAAGTATTCAAAGTTCAATGTTGAAAGTTCAAGTATAAGTAGGATATCACACGTATATTCAAATGCTGTAATCACTAATCACTTGTATAGATTGTAACTGTCCTAGTCCCTTTATATTTATCCGTCAAAAGGTGTGTCCTAATAAAAATATAACAAAGGTGGGGAAACTGATTTTTCTCTCACATATACACATACAAAGGTGGGAATCTTAGGAACACGTACCGTCACTTTCTGGCCCGTTCGGATTGCGTAGGATCGCGGGAATAAAGAATGTGAGCCAGAAAACGCGGTGATGGATTGTACACGAGCCGAGTACTTCGGGTCTGGTGGCCTCAAAAGTCCACAGATCCGAATTCTGTCTCGCGTATACAAAGGTGGGAATCTTGGGAACACCTACCGTCACTTTCTGGCCCATTCGGATCGCGTAGGATCGCGGGAAGGAAGAATGAAGGCAAGAATACGCGGTGCTGGATGGTACACGGGCCGAGTACTTCGGGTCTGGTTGCCTCAAAAGTCCACAGATCTGAATTCTATCTCGCATATACCAAGGTGGGAGTCTTGGGAACACGTACAGTCACTTTCTGGTCGAATCGGGACACACAGCATCGTGGAAAGGAAGAATTAAGCGGAACAAGGGAGAAAATCAGAGGATTCCCGATCAAGAAAAACTGTCGGACAGAATCCCGGCAGACTCGACATAAATGTAAACGGGGCGGATGAAAGACTATTGGCTGTCTGATCAGTAGGCTACACCTACTTACTGAAGCAACGATCCTGAAGTGGGGCACTGTATAAATGAGTAGGGATCGCTCTGCTTAAGAATGAGAACTATGCTTGGAAAATAAATGACTTATTACTTACGATAAATTTGCGAACTTTTAGTATTGAAGAAGGAGACATGGACCTTTAGCAGAAAGTGAAGGAGTTAGAATTTTGCAGTAGTCAGTACAAATCACGAGATTTTTGATTGGAAGAGTTTAATTTCGAAGTTCTAAAAAAAAACCATAGATTGTTCTGCTCAGTCTGCAGTCAGAAATATTATCAGGTTAATTGACTTTTAAAGTAGAAATTCATTGAATTTTTCACTTTTAATAATAGTTATTGTAAATTAGAGTATAATTGCATGCAGTAAGCAGTTTAAAATTAATACTTGTAATAAATTTTTAAATTATTTTAACAATATTAACAATGTAAACAGTAAAATAAAGTTTCTGGTTTATTTTTAAGTACTTTAATTATATAATAATCAGTGTTTCTTGTTAAATGCCAATTTAAATTGTTTATAATTATTGAAAATATTAAGTAAATCTGTTGCATGATTTACCTTAATTGATTAGTTTCGCATTGAATTAACAATTGCGTGCAGTAGATTAATTGGAAATTGTTTCCAACTTTTATCGAAAGTTGACAAATTAATGTTCTTTTGGTGTGAATTACAGATGGAACTTTCAGGCCACCACAGGAATCAAGAAAAGGACTTCAAAATCAGGAAAAATGAAGAAATGCAATTATTCTGCAATTTATTATAAAAGAAAATTCAGTCTTGGGCTGTTCAGTATGTGGCACTAGACAGATTTACTGGAGTGGGCAGTAAGATCGAGGAGTCCTCCCACCTAGTCAGCAATAACGTCTGGTAGTTTTGGGATAACGAAGTGGTAATAATCTGTATTTATTCAGGGTTGCTTTCCGAAATTTACCTGTAACAAAAATTAATACTGCAGATATTAGACTTTATACAACCAGATAATTTGAATTGTAAGTACAGCTTAACTTCAGTAAGAGAATTAGTTATCACTAAAGTTCATTGCGTATATTAAAAACATCATTATAACAATTAAATAAAATATTTTTCAATTTTAAAAAATGCTATACCTTTTTATTATGTATTTTTTC